CCAACCTGTCCAGGTCTGCTTGTAGTTGTTCCCTGCCCTCTGGCGTGTCCACTTCTCCCCACAGTTTTGTATCATCCGCAAACTTGGACAGCGTACACTTCACTCCCTCATCCAAGTCACTGATAAAGACATTGAAGAGTATCGGTCCAAGGACCGAGTCCTGTGGGACCCCACTGCCCACATCCTTCCAGGTGGATACCGACCTGTCCACCACCACTCTCTGGGTACGACCCCCTAACCAATTTGCCACCCACCGGACTGTGTAATCATCCAAGTTACAGCCTCTTAATTTGTTCACCAGTATGGGGTGAGATAGGCCTTCCTGAAGTCTAAGTAAACGATGTCTACCCCTACTCCTGCGTCCAGGTGTTTTATAACCTGGTCCTAAAAAGAGACTAGATTAGTCAGGCATGATCTACCTGCTACAAACCCATGCTGGTTTCCCCTCAGCATAATTCCTGCTGCTGGGTTCTCACATATATGAGCCTTAATATTCTTTTCAAAGACTTTGCCAAGGATGGAGGTGAGACTGACTGGTCTATAGTTGCCTGGATCCTCCTTCCTCTCCATCTTGAAAATAGGGACCACCACATTGGCCCTTTTGCAGTCCTCTGGGACCTGGACCGTGTGCCACGAGCGCTCAAATATTCTTGCCAGTGGCTGTGCAAGGACATCAGCCAGTGCCTTCAGTACCCTCGGATGGAGGTCATCTGGGCCTGCTGACTTAAATGCATCCAGTCCTTCCAAGTGACTCTGCAACATCTCAGGGTCAACGCTTGGTAGTCTGGCAGCCTGCTGTTGCCTCTCTACAATCCCATTGTGAGACTTGTCTTGCCCCTCGTGTAGGAACACTGAGGCAAAGAACTCATTGAGGTGTTCAGCCTCGTCCCCCCTGACTGTCACCAATTGCTTTTGCCCATTCAGTAGTGGTCCTATACTGCCCTGGGCCTTCCTTTTACTCCATATATATCTGAAAAACAATTTTTTGCTATCCCTAACTTGGGATGCCATCATCAGTTCCGTGGTAGTTTTGTCCTTTCTAACTGCTTCCCTACAACTGCGAGCTTTGGAGGTATACTTCTCTTTAGTAATCTCTCCCTGTTTCTACTGCTTATATGCCCCCCTTTTTGCCCTTAGGCTGCTCTGGATTTCTCTGGTCAGCCAAGGGAGCCTCTTGGCCCCTTTCCCCCTTTTCCCCCACATAGGGATCATCTCCCTCTGTGCCCAAAGGATTGCTTCCTTAAGGCACAGCCACCCTTCCTGGGCTCCCATCTCGCCAAATCTCTTACTCTGCAGTGTGTCATTGACTAAACGCCTGAGATATTTAAAGAAGAAGTTATATGAAGAAGAGTAAGAAAATAGTTAAAAATATATTGGACAAGCTTCTCCAAGATTATGGCCAAATTAACTCCCAAGTTGAAAAAGCTTGGGAGCCCACCAGGAGCTGGAAAAACGGTATCTCAAGGTACATATAAACCTGCAAAGCAACAAGAACTTCAAAGCTTGTAGGACTTTATAGTTCATTAAAAGAAATAACAGAAACAAAATTCCAAGTGCACAGATGTGAAGAAGCACAAACATGACATCTAGGTGAAAGACACGACGTAGCTAGTTTTAAATCAGTCTTTCTCACTACTCTTGAGCAAGTAGTATTCTGAGAAAGATGAGCAACAAGGCAGGAACATAGCAAGAGCTCAGTTAGTGTACAATGTACTTTAGATCTTGATAGATGATGCAACCCTTTCAGAAATGTTATCTACCAGTGCACATTAGAGCACTTCTGAAGCTACTCAGGCTTGAATTGGGGAATGGAAGAGGGGGAAAAAACCTAAAGACAAAACTTCATGGATAATGTGTTTTCCTTGTTATTACATTCATTATAATTCCTTGTCAGAATAAACATTAAGTTTGGTGCATGATTATTCAGAACAATTGTTATTATTGGGGTAAGAGACACTTCGTTGATCATTATAGATCAACATGGAATTTGTATTTTCAACATGTTTTTGATAATTGGCAAGAACACTTTTTCCTCAGACTATTAAGCCATGTTTTTCTATATGGACACCTTGAAAAATACAGCTTAATTTAGTGGCCTGGAATTTGCATGATGTGCAAATAATGTTGTCAGTATATTCCTTTTCTTAGTTCTGTTCAGCATTTTCTTGAACAATGACTTTTCCCAGGTCAAAGTATCGCCACTTCTGTCATCAGAAAAGTAACTTGCGTGCTATCCATCTTAGACTTCTTTCAGAAAATGACAGGTAATTTCACTGGCATTACTTTTGTGACAGTTTCAGCTTGATGATTCAACTTTTTAGAGTACATCAAAATTGCATTCAATGTACATTATTGCACAATATGAAAATTCAACTGTAGTTGGTTTACATTCTCAATTACCATGGTTACTACACAAATTGAAAAACTATGCTGAATATTAAAACTTTCATTATTAAAAAAGCATGTGTTGCACACTGATATTTAAAAGAACTCTATCAAAATGATATATATTAAATAATTGAATTCAACTTCAGACTAAATATTATATATCATAAGGATTTTAAAAAAATAACAATTTTTCCATTTATACTTTTAAAAATTAAAAATACCTTGATTTTTTTTAATGTTGCTGGAAAGTAATTCTGTAGAATTGTCATGATGGTTCCATTGCCATGCCAATTTTCTGGTGTGTTTGTATAGGCCTGAGAATTCAGGTTTGACAAACTTGGTTCTGCCTAACCTAGCCACCCTAACCTAACAGTCATGATAAAAGAGAAGAAACACAGAATTATAACAAAGTAGGGCTGGAAGGGACCTCACAGAGTTTAGTTCAACTCCTTGGTCAAGGCAGGATCATCACTGACTAAACCATGCCAGTCAATGCCTGTCTAACCTACTCTTGAAAATTTCTAAGGAAAACTTCTACTACTCTATGCTGTTTCTGTCCTTCCCTGTCTTTGATGCCATGTCTACTTGTCACCTGGTAACTGCACCTGTTTGTGAAGATTGAAGTAAAAAAGGCATTAAATACTTCAGTCTTCTTTGCATCATCTATAGCTAGATTGTGTGTCACATTCTCTAAGGGACCTATGGTTTTTCCAGTCTTCCTGTTACTTTTGACACACCTATAGAATTGTTTTTGCCTTCCTAATTTTCTCCCTGCATGCCTGTGTGACACTTTTATGTTCTTTCCTAATAGTATGACCAAGTTTCCAGTTTTTGTAGGTTTCCTTTTTGAGTTTCAGCTCATTGAAGAGGTTGCTGTCTAGCCAGGCTGGCCTCCTGTTGCACTTCCCATTTTTTCATTGCATCAAGATAACTTGCTCCTTAGAAGAGCCTCCTTTAAGTACAGCCAGCTTGCCTGGATTCCTTTCCCCTCCTCAGATTTACCCCAGCAGGGGATCCTGCCTGTTACCTGAGTTTGTTACAGTCTGCTTTTCTGAAATCCAGTGCCTGTATTCTGCTGTTCTTCCTCCCTCTCCTTAGGATCTTGAGTACTATGACTTCATGGTCAGTGGGTGCACAAAGGTGCAGAACCTGTGGAGCCATGTGGCTAGGTAGCAGGCAGCCCCTGTACTTTAGCACTCTCATGCCCCAACCAGCCCCTGTCACAATCTACATGTGTGTTTTGTTGCACTTATAACTCTGCCATAAGACAGTCCATGACTGCTATCTTACAGCAGAATTTATTGCATCCTAATACCGGCACATGTGTAGACTGTGGCACTTTACTGTGGAGCTAGTTAGTCAGTTCCTCAGTAAACCACACATGTAGATACATACTTTAGCTATTTGACCTTGCACATGGAAAACATTGTATGTGAAACTGCTTAGTTGTGTTAGTATGTAAAAATGAATCAAACTAGATTTTGTATTGATTATTGGGCTTCTAAATATTTTTACAGTTACATATGCCATTACTAAAAATCCAGGACACTTTGGATATGTTGAATTAGGTTCAACATCAAACCATTTAGAACACTGTAAGGGAGGCAAAAGACTCTTCAGGTGAAGGCAAAAATGACATTACTTCACCTTCCTCCCCATTGATTCTAGGGACCAAAGGGGCAACTGCTTGAAATATAGTGAAGGCTTCCCAGAATTTCTGGCCATTCTTTCTTCTATTCCTTTGCTCTGTTGAAGCAAAGTACATGGAATAAGGCCAAGGCTATAGTCTGTTAGCCAAACATCAGCTGGAAATAGACAGTGGTGAGCAAGATTGATTACACCAAAATCTGAGAACCAAGAACTAGAAGCTCCATGAGAGCTCGTTAAGTCTTACAATTGAAAGGAAAGTGCTACTTCCATCTAGCAGCAACTGTTATTTTTCATCTATTGCTAGCTGCTATTTTTATAGAGGTGATAAAAATCCCATCACATTTTAAGATGATTTTCAGAAAAGTTTAGGAAATGAAGAAAAAAATTGGGGAACACCTTTACTAAAATTCAGTTGCAAGACTTTCAAACCAATTTCTGGAAAATTCCACAAGTGCTTTTGTTTGTGTGATAATGGAGTTAAGAGAAAGCAAAATGAAAATAAATCTGAGTACTTTAATTAAAATCCACTTATGGAAAATATAATTAGATAAGGATAATGTTGCGTATTTTGACATAACTTAAATTGCTATTTGCTCTACCTTGCAAACTTCCTTGCTGAATTTGTTAATGAATATATAACATTATTGCAGAAATAGAAGGAATCATTTGCAATAGAGAAATATAGTGATAGTATCTTAAATGTTAGTACAGTTTTCATTATCCACAATGGATCATTTTCTAAAATAGGGTCAAGTCCCTCAGGATTTCTGTATCTCCACTGAAAATGTTCTTGAATATGTTCAATCTTGACAATGTAAGTTTATCCAAGTTTATTCCCAAAGACATTTGGATAAAAAGGACAGTGTACTGCCATCTGAACTTCTACCGTTAGTAGAATTATATTATGTCCAAAAAGTTAAAGATTACTTAACATTAATGACTTACAGTAATATGAAAGCAGCCTCAATTTTCTAGTTTAGATTTCTAGTTTTACATTTACTAGAAAAAATTAATTATGGGTAGGGAGGGTAGTGGATGTGACCCAGGTCCCATTTCTCCCCTTCCACAGGTATCAAAAAGGGAATCTATGGGTGTGTTTTTACTTCTTTCTTTTCTTAGAGGGCCTCATTTGCTCTGTTTACTTCAGTCCTATTAAGATGTTCTTGTGTTGTACTGTACCTCTACCGTATCCCAATACCCATGTGTGTACATTCCATATTTTAATAAAAGAAAGCCACTTTTTATGTAGTTCAGTTAACTAATATCTGATACTAACATTTACTTTCTCTTACACCATCTATCTTACATTATGGATTGTAATAGCTTTTGAGGCAGAATGTATATGTATATCACAGAGAAGCTTCAGTCTCCACCTAAGTATTAGGTCAGTAGTACAATACAAATAATTGATTATGATGATAATATTGTAATTAAAAACATCAATTTTCTACCACTGGAATAATGTAAATGTAACTTAAAGTTGTCATAGAATCCTGTAATCATAGAAACGTAGGGCTGGAATGGACTTCTAGAGGTCATCTAGTCTATCCCCCTGCCTGAGGCAAGATCATCCACATCCCAGCCATCCTATACAAATTCACTGTCTAACCTATTTGCAAAACTACACAGTCAGGCCCAACACAACCACAAGACATAACACCCTAACCTAACACAAGCAAGCAGGAGAATCACAGAGACCAACATCCTGCTACTGCAAAGATTGTTAAAATATGCTGGAGAGATCCAAGAAAGAGGGACTCCTGTACAGAGGAAGTCAACCCCACCCCCCACCCCAAAGTCTGTACCAATCTGACCATGAGGTAAAATTCCTTCATGATCTCCAAATATGGTAATTGGTCTGAAACTGAGGGAAGGACAAGACCCTCTGGCCAGGAAACTCTAGGTGTAAGTCCCAGCTGCAGCGTTGGCATACCCCAGTCAAAATCCCCAGCTGGGGCCACAGCCAAAACCCAATGCTTGAGGAAGGTGAAGAAAACCCTCCTGACACATGCTGCAGAAGGAAGGGAAAAAATTCCTTCCTGGCCGCATGTGACAATCAGCAAAGCCCAGAAGCATGGGAAATTCCCATAGTAGAAACATAGGCATAGCTTTTCTTAGATCATCCTGACCAGTGCTTATCCAACCTCTTCTTGAACATCTCCACTGACTGAGATTTCGTAAGTTCACTAGGCAGCATAGGCAGTGGAAGCGGGGACTAACTAGGCTTACCCTGCAAACATGGGACAGCAGTAGGACTGCCACCACCTGCCCCAAGCACAGCATGGCCCACTCCCCACTCTGGGAAGAGCCCAATGCAGCCCTAGCCTCAGCCCACACTGGCAGCCTGCCTCCCCCCACACAGATCTGGGGGCATATGCCCCACATGCCCTCCCAGGGTGTGCACAGTGGCGGGAGCTGCCAAATAATTTTTTTCTCCCTCCGCCTACCCTAGGCAGTCTATTCCACTGTCTCACTGTTCTAAGAGTGACATTTTTCCTGATATCCAATCTAAACCTACTTTGTCATAAAAGAACAACTCAAGATTCTTCTGACAATAGAGGAGTATTTCTAGTTGTATAGTATCTATCTAGTCAGATTTACATCTGCTTACCCCCTTCAGGGGGAGTATTGAGGAGTGTTGAGGAGGTCTAAGGGCATGTCAAAAGTTAAAATGGGTCAAACCAGCCTCTTAAAACAGTTTAAATTAGAAGTTGGTTTCAGACTTGAAGTAAGTGGTACAGCTGAGGATCAATCTTTTAGGTATTCCTCGAAGTAGTAATGTTTGAATATACTGTATGTTATCTTTTTATGTACATATTTATGTTATATTTTTATTGGCTTATAAACAACTTTAATAATAGTTATTGATACTGATCATATCAAAACCCTAATTTTTTTCAAAGTATATTTTTATCACTTTATCCTATTTCAGATTTTGTAAGTATTTTTTTACATTTTTTTATGTCACATTTTTTCCTCTTTATCTTGAATTGGTCTTTGCAGCTGACAATATAGGACGTATATTTGATCATACTTGGTATAGATTTTGATGTATGGACCATAATATTCACAGATTTAGTGTGAGGACCAAATAGTATTTACTTAGTCTGTCTCTGTGTTTTGGTCTCTCCAAGAATCACTAGCTTTACATCATTAATTTAATCCATTTAAAAATTATGTTCATAAATTATTTAGATTAAATATAGATTTTAAGTATATATTTTTCATGATTTTCCACGTTCTTAATATGTGTGTTAAATAGGATAGAACTTTAATTAGGTGTAGTAAAGGCAGTTTTTATATTTTTATTAAGTTTTTAGATGAATGCACAATGAAAATGAATCTTACTTCACCAGCAAAATATCTCTACAACATACATGGAGAAAAAATTGAAAATATCATAAATGGTAAGTAGGAATATATACACCGCATACAAGTGTTTGTAAATCTGGGGCCTTATTTGCCTAATTCAGGAATTCAAAGTAGACGGATGGCTGAAATTAACTGATACTAGCCTGTAGGCAATGCACAGAATTCCACAAATTACAGAAACTCAGGAAATAAATATGCTGCTATAACAATTGCCAAGATCTTAAATATAGTTTGTTTTTATAATTAATTTGTTCTTCTTTCAGTGTATAGATCCCTACTTAGTATGTGTGCACCCAGTGCACCAGTCAGAGCTTCTCTTGAAGATCCTTTTGGGTCAATGCATTCTCCCTGCATATTTTTTTCAGGTCCCTGGCACTACCTTTAAATACTGAAGTCATAGAGTCCTTTAAATGTTGAAGTCACAAAATTAACTATACTTTTCTTCTTCAGTCTGGCACTGATGGTAGCACCTTAGATACATACTGGCAGCATTGGAAGTATATAGAGGGGTAAGAGTGGCCACACCCTTCCTTTTTGCAAGCTAAGATGTACTTATGGCACCAGTAACATTTGAAACAGCATCAGTATCCACTGCAACTTCTCCTTTAATACCATGATCTACATACCATGTATCTTAGTGCCAACTACAAGGAATCTCCCTGCACCAGTTTCATTGTGGACTCAAGTGCCCACAGCAACAGTATATTTGGTATCAACTTCAGTAGCAATCTGGGAACCAACTTGTCTTCATTCCATTTTATTCTGCCCCACCTGTCCCAGTAAATTTTCACTTTCATTCTTGGACTTGGAACTATTACCTGATAGATCTAAGAGGCCTGTAGTCTCAACCTTTATTTTAGATTTGGGAAGTGTTCTGCTCCAGGTATAATAAGGAAACTCATAGTTGTTGGTCCAGAACTAGGTCTCTGTATAGCTTGAATCTAGTACAAGAAGCTCCAGTCTCTTAAAACATTTAATCCTTCTCTCCAAATACAGCTCAAGACATCTTCCTTCCTTCCTTCCGCTCAGACGCTGCG